AGCAATAATATACCTACCTTAAAAAATTGGCCGTAGTGCGATATATCATTGTCTATGAATCTGTATAAAATTATATATGAAAAGGTTAGATAAGTTAAATATGTTTGCAAATTAGATGGTAAATAATAAAGTGGAAAGGGTTTAAATTAAAACAAGGGTAAATATGGAATATAAATATTTTAACATTTTAATTTATTCTGCAATTAGGCAAAATGTTACTTGCATTTAGTACCGTAGTTTTTGTAACACCCCGTATTTTTATACGTATTTTAATTTAAATAAGTATTTCTTAAAGTATTTAAATAATTCGAAATGAATTATTTATCGTTTTATTAATCTAAAAAGAATTATTTTAATTAAAAAGTTTATTTTTAATTATTTAATAATCTTGAAAATATTTTATTATATGATCTAAATATATTGGAGCATATTATTTTATAAAAAGATAATTTTTAAAGTTAATGGTATTTAAGGAAAGTCAAAATACTAGTTTGACTAGGAAAGGGATCATTAAGGGTAGTAAAGGAATTTTAATTAGGAGGGATATTGAGAGAGGGTATAAATACCAATCATATGCCTAAGGTGGAGTGCACCCAAAGGTAAACTCTTTCTCTCCTCTTATCATCTTTTCCCCTTAATTTTTCCCCTTCGCCTTTATTTATTTATTTTTATTTTATTTTCAATCACCACACACCACCACCACACGCCGCCGGACCACCGCCGCAGCCGCCAGCAGGCGCCAGTGACAGCAGCGGCACCACCAGCAGGCGCGGCAGCAGCCGGCTGTGGTGTCGGTGCTGTTTATGGCCGAACAAAAAAAATATATATATTTTCTTTTTATTTTTAATTAAATCTACCCTAGATCTAACTGTTTTTGTGATGATTTTAGGATGTTTAATAATAAGTATTTTGTATATTAATTTTCAAATTTGGTTTTGAATTAAAAAGTCCCAAATTGAAAACCCTAGGTTTCTAAATTAATGTATATTGCTGGAATTTGATTGTGGTTGATTAAAACTATTGAAATTAATGTTTTTAAACTAAATTACATCAATTTTATAAGTTTTAATAATGCTTGAATTTTTATATACAAGCTATAATTATGTTTCTTGAAAGGCTTTTTAATTACCCATTAATTGGGAATAAAAGTAAGGGTTTTAAATTAAATTACAGATTATTTTAGAGGGTTTATGAGTGATTTAAAGAGAGTATATATTGCTGGAAATTTGTGTGGAAGAGGTATTAATACTTCTTTATAATTTTGGTTTGTAGGAGACTTTCAAGTGAGTAATTTTATTTAGTCGTGGCGATTTTGAGATCATATTCAAGGTACGTTCGCGTACTTAGTAATTATGTGGATATGTAGAGGCATGCTAGGCTTGTTTAATTAATTCTAAGTAGTATCATGATAGGTGATGGTTGGAATTTGTTGATTGGATCGATGTTGGTGAATGATTTGTGATGTATGAATTATTTATGATGAATTGATGATTGGAATTAATTATGTTAGCATGTTGGTTATAAACCACACTTTTATTATTGGCATGTTAGAGAGCATATTCAATTAAACTAAATGTTTAATTTGGTTTGGAATATGAAAAGGGAATTTTATTATGGTTCATATAATTTTTATTGATGTTTTAAGCACGGGAATTGAGCTATTTAAGTGTCTTAGTACACAGGAATAAATTATATTGCGGTGCTTATATGCACTTAAGGTGTTTCTAACATCGAGGGATATTGCGGCGCATTATACGTTTAAGGTGTCTTTGACACTGAGGTAGATTAAAAAGGGTTCAACTGTTAAATTTATATGGTCTCTAATTATTTAAGAATTAAATTGGTATGTTTAATTGCTTGAATGAATTATAATGTTTGATTGTGCTATGGTTTGAGAGTCATCACCAAGTATAATAATATGTAAGCAACGTAAAGTGAAAGAGATTACACATCAAAACTCTTGGAACGTATATACCTTGAGTACGAGCATATGGGGGGGAGTTATGGAGTTTTATATTTAACCATGACTTCTACTGGGAGTATAAGACGTTGTATTTTCCTTTATATGCGCAGGACGTCCAGTCACTTTATGTGACATTTGCCTACCCGATTAGCTCCCGATGTAGTTTACCTCAATTTATTTGATGCAGAGATTTGGTTGGAAACTCGTTCGATGTGTAACCAAAATTAAATGAACATTGGTATTGGTCTAGTTAGGTGTTGAATGTTTTGTATCCTTGTAAACAGGTGCAACACGGTAAGTTGTGTGATGTTAGGATGAAAGCATGTTAGTATGTTTTATTACGCTTATGTACTCAGCTTTGCTGATTTTGTGTTTGTATGTTTGTTCGGCCTTGTCTTTACCTTGGCCCTACGACGACCCATTTCTAATGGTGTGTAGTGGGGACAAGTAGAGAGAAGCTTTTCAGGTGATGAAGCATATTCATGAAGGGGCATGAGTGAAGAACGAATCATGCTTAGTTCTCGTAGGAATATGATGTGTTTTATTTGCTTTAAATATTATTTATTTTATCATGATCATGAAACTAAAGCTAAGGTTTTAAATATTGATTGGGTTTTAAGGGCTTACAATGGTTCCAAGTTGTAGGTTGACTTTGTTTGACTTAGTTTGACTTTTACTTTCGTTTGGTTTGACTTTTTCAAGTTGATTTGTTTTTAAATGGTTTTCAAGTTGACTGTGTGTGAGTCTTTGATATTTGCCTTAGTTGTCTTCATGGTGGCGGTAATGTCTTAGATTTTCCTTTTTCGTATTTTAAAAAGGCAAAATGGGTATTTTAAAGAAAAGGAATTTCTAGGGTGTTACAGTTTTAGTATAATTGACCACATTGGTATAATGTTAGCACCTTGATGACATATTGATATAAAAATTAACACCGGCGACAAATTGGTATAAAAGCTAACAAACAATGAAAAATTGGTATAAAAATTAACAAATGTGACATTTAACCCTTTTTTTTTTTTTTTTTTTGCCGGAGCAAGTGCTTAATTATTATTTTGGTTTTAATATTTGAATTTTTTTTGTTTTTGTTAATACTCATTTAATGACAAATAATTCTCTCCTCAAAGGTCATGCAACTAAGATTATCGGCAAATGATAACTACAAAAAAAATTGTAAACTCAAACAAAAACCTGCGATATGACAAATAATTCTTATAAAATAAATGTCCATTTTCTTTTTTAATTAATACAAATTTTTGTGTTTGTTCAATTGTATAAAATGTTCGTTTTTATAGTAAAGGATGTTCAATTAACATTAGCATTAATAATGTTTGACATTAGCATTTTGTTCATAATTAAAAAAACATATTGTTGATTTATTTAATTGTTATTAAATCATATAATTTAGCGAATTGCAAAATATCCATTCAAGAGATTTGAACAAATCAAGATATTTCACTTGAAGTTTAAAAAAATATTGATGAATAAGCAACAACATTTAGTTTCATAATCTCTTTATTTTACTCTTATATTATAAATGCTCATTTTTTTTCTAGTAAATGTTCATTTTTGTTGAGCAAGACTTGCCAGCTATGGTTGATCTCGGGACCAGCTTAAAATTTGCGATATAACACCTCTAATGACATGTATATTTTATCAAACTTTATTTATATAATTAATATTTTTTAAAAAATTTAAAATTTGGGCTTACCGTGCGTGCCATCTTGTTGCATAGGAAATTAAAAATTGGAGCCATTTTATTCTTCAAACCCATGATTCATGAACCTCTTTTCAAAAAATGTCAAAAAGTACCAAAATCAAGACTTTTACTAAAAGGGCTCAACGGCCCATAACAGTATGAATCAATTACTTTCCCCTAAGCAATAAGTCTTAGCTACACCCTAGTTGCATGCCTGCACCATGCCTTATAACATGAACATATAGTAAAAAAAATTATAAACACGTATGTAAAAAAAATGAACATTCAGTTTCAAAAAATAAACACGTAAAAAAAAAAAAAATTAAACATTTAGTATTCAAAAGTGAACATGTTAAAAAAAAATGATTATTTAGTATATTAAAAGTGAACGTGATTATCATATAATCATAAAATTGATGGACACAACTTTAAAAATGTAACATTTAGTCAAAAAAAAAAAAGAAAAAAAAAATTGAACACGTAAAAATAAAATGATCATTTAGTAATAAAAAAATGAACACGTAAAAAAATGAATTTTAGTAATAAAAAATGAACATGTCAAAAAAAAATATGAACATTTAGTATGGTAAAAATGAACATTTATCATACAATCATAGAATAGCTAGACCATACCTAATATAATGAACATTTTATAAAAATATATGAATACATATATAAAAAAAATAAACACGTAAACAAATAAACGCATTAAAAAAAATTATGAATATTTAGTATATTAAAAATGAACATGATTTTCATATATTCATATAGGTTCAAATTCATTGTATATAAAAATTAACAAAAAATAAAGATAAAATATATTGTTAAATTATGTTCATTTTTTATATACTAATGTTCATTTTTAGTATACTAAATGTTCATTTTGTAAAAAATGTTTAATTTTAAAGTACTGTATGTTCATTTTTTTTATTTACAGAACACAAATTCAATTGTAATTATTCTAAAAATTTGAATATCCACCTTAAATCTAATCTTGGTTCATATAGAGACAATAATTATCGATCTATAACATAATAGATTAGGAATCACAAATGCAAAATTGATAAAAATCAACAATTTTACAACATTCACATATTTATATATATATATATTTTTTTTTTCAAAAAAAAACTCAAAATTACTTCAAGTTTCACGATCGTGACGAAAATGATGATGATAATGGAGGATGCTACAATGGTGACAAATTGGAGAATATCCGAATTAGAAGGACAAAGAAGTATACAGATTGAAGGAAAGTGAGGTAAGAAAGAAAATTAACTTATAAAAAAAGGGAAAAAAAAAGGAGAGAGAAAATTTCTGATTGAGAAGAAAACAGAGGAGAGAGAAAATTAATAGAGGTAAGAAAGAAGATGAGAGAGAGTTGAGATATAAAGAAGAAGGAAAAAAAAAAAAGGTATGTCTATTTTTGAATTACTATATGTTCATATATGGGTGCAGTGGTGCAGCTAGCTTAGCTTAGCTGTGTGTAGCTAAGAATTTGTGTCCCCCAAGTAAAGGCACAAGCCGCACGTGCCAAAGGAGCCATGCAAATGTCTTCCAAGAGCGTGCAAAATAAATGCAAAATAAAAAATAAAAATAAAAACTAAAAACTTTTTAATAAATGAATAAATAAATAAGCTCAATCTTCTTTCTTTATCAATATGAATTCTTTCATATCAAACCAACCAATAATTCAAAACCAGGTATTTTCAACATTAATTAATGTGAAGCATTTTATCATAACATTTCAAACACAAATTTATGCATGTAGGTATTAAAACAAACCATAATATCTCGTGAAAGTCCTAAGCAAAATTCCTAGATTATTACCTCAGCTCCCTCCCAAAGATCCTCGTGAGGTAGAGCTCTGCTCTTCCTTGTACTTTCACGGGTTTCATATTCTTCTCTGCACCATTTTCAAATTTTCGACGTACCGGTCCCTTTAAATACCCCCCGGAATCCCACCACTAAGCACCATGAACCACAACCCCAACACGAGTTTTAACCTTAAACGTACACGAAAATGGCATCACCACCAAAAACTTTGCTTTTTCTATCAACCTTTTTACTTTCTTTGGTTTCTCTTAATAATGCCCTTTTACCCCTCCAAACCTACATTGTACAACTACACCCACAAAGTGAAACTGCTGCTTCTTATTATACTTCTAAGCTTGATTGGCACCTCTCTTTCCTCGAGAGAACGGTGTCTTTAGAGGAAGAGGCTGATCATTCTTCTCGCCTTCTTTACTCTTATCGTTCAGCAATAGAAGGTTTTGCAGCTCTTCTCTCGGATTCTGAGGTAGAGTCCTTAAGGAGAATGCATGATGTCATTGCGGTTAGACCTGATAGGAGGCTTGAGCTTCATACTACTTACTCCTACAAGTTTCTAAAGCTTGATGCTCCTAGAATAGGGGCTTGGTCTAGGACCGAGTTTGGGAGGGGGTCGATCATTGGTGTCTTGGATACTGGTGTTTGGCCTGAGAGCCCGAGCTTCAGTGATCATGGGATGCCAGCACCTCCTAGGAAATGGAGAGGGGTTTGTCAAGAAGGGCAGAACTTCAATGCTTCGAGTTGCAACAGGAAACTCGTTGGTGCTCGGTTTTTTATCAAAGGTCATCATGTGGCTAATTCACCACTATCACCAGAAATAAACCCTGAGTATGTGTCTGCCCGTGATTCTTCTGGGCATGGGACCCACACATCATCCACGGCTGGGGGATCACCGGTCCCAATGGCGAATTTGCTTGGCAATGGGGAGGGAATTGCACAAGGGATGGCCCCAGGAGCCCACATTGCCATCTACAAGGTGTGCTGGTTTAATGGGTGCTACAGCTCTGACATACTGGCTGCAATGGATGTAGCAATAAGAGATGGTGTCGACGTCCTCTCTCTTTCTTTGGGAGGATTTCCAATCCCTTTCTATGATGACACTGTTGCAATTGGTAGCTTCCATGCTGCAGAAAAAGGCATTTCTGTCATCTGTGCAGCAGGAAACAACGGTCCTACCAGAAACTCAGTTGCCAATGAGGCTCCTTGGGTCACTACTGTGGGAGCAAGTACCCTTGATAGGAGATTTCCCGCTTTTGTCAGAATGGGAACTGGGAGATACCTCTATGGGGAGTCCATGTTCCCGGGGAATCATTTCTCAGGGGCTGCAAGAGAGCTTGAAGTAGTCTACATAACAGGTGGCGATATGGGAAGTGAATATTGTCTAGAAGGGTCCCTCCCTCGAGAAAAAGTTGCAGGGAAAATGGTGGTATGTGATAGAGGTGTAAATGGAAGAGCAGAGAAAGGTGAGGTTGTGAAAAGAGCTGGAGGAGCTGCAATGGTTCTAACAAACACAGAGATAAATCTCGAGGAAGATTCAGTCGATCCTCATGTCTTGCCAGCTACTTTGATTGGCTTTTCAGAAGCAGTTCAACTAAAGAGTTACATCAACTCTACAAAACGACCAACTGCAAAGATCCACTTTGTAGGGACTGTTATAGGAAGATCAAGAGCACCAGCCGTGGCACGTTTTTCATCCAGGGGGCCAAGTTTGAACAACCCTTCAATCCTCAAGCCAGATGTGATCGCACCAGGCGTAAACATCATAGCTGCCTGGCCCCAAAACTTGGGCCCTTCTGGCCTTCTAGGAGATTCTAGAAGGGTGAATTTTACTGTCATGTCGGGAACTTCCATGGCTTGTCCTCATGTCAGTGGCATTGCTGCTCTTATCCACTCTGCTCACCCAAATTGGTCCCCTGCTGCAGTTAAGTCTGCAATGATGACAACAGCAGATGCAACTGACCATTTTGGGAAGCCAATCATGGATGGAAACATTCCGGCAGACCATTTTGCAATCGGTTCTGGACATATCAACCCTGCCAAAGCGGTTGATCCAGGATTAATCTATGACGTCAGACCAACGGATTACATCACACATTTGTGCAGCCTTGGATACATGAGATCTGAAATTTTCACAATCAGTCGCAGAAACATAAGCTGCAAAGCGATACTGCAGAAAAGCAGGGGGTTCGAATTAAATTACCCTTCAATTACTCCCGTTTTCAAAGGCAGGGAGACAGTTAAGGTGATCAGCAGAAGTGTAACTAATGTGGGCAGACCAAATTCCATTTACTCAGTGGAAGTCAGAGCTCCAGAAGGAGTCAGAATTGTAGTCAAGCCAAAGCGATTAGTATTTCGAAGAATTAATCAAACATTAGGCTACAAAGTCTATGTTATATCCAAGAAAGGAGCAAAGCTGATTAGCTTTTCTCAAGGAGAACTGATATGGGTACACTCACATCGAAACCTTTACAAGGTTAGAAGCCCAATTACAGTGTCTTGGGTAAGCAAGAAATCATAATTGAAGGATGTTTCTCTAGCTTGATCGCCTAGCAGAGACAAACCAATGTGTTTTTTCATTGATGATTTTATTGCAGAAGCTACTATGTCACAGTTTCTAGGGTACAGAGTACATTCCTCTGACTTGCTACTGATTCAGAAGGAAATCTAACATGTTCTTTATGTTATCTGAGCTTTGGACGCAAATTTATGATAGAATTTCTTTGAAGTACAAGGTTACTTCATTTATGTTGGTACTTTATTCTGGTACTATATTAATGAATGCAGAGTTTAAAAAATATATTATGTATTATTTCAAAATTCATGCCTTACAGAGAGCTACAGAGAATAATCATGTCACTCACCCAGCCTTATCAGATCTATTCAAAGAATCACAAATATGGTCAGAGAAGACACAGAATCAAACACTTGGAGCACCAACAAAGCAGCATTTATCTTAATGTAAAGATTCAAGCTTTTGAGATATGCTCAACTCACACAATTATGCTAAAATCGGGTTTATGGGAAAAAAAGGATGTACATTGCCTTAACTTTTGACGAATTGCAAACCGTTAGCGTTGGCATAGCGTTCCATGAATCTCATGAACCTGTCCCATTCTCGGGGGGTGCGCATGATGTACCTTGCTTCTATCCCTGCTGGCTTCCCATTAACGAACCTTGCATTCACACTGGTGGAAGAAAGAACACCTTCCTCATCGATCATGTAAAACCCAGTTATATCACCAACTTCCTTTGATGAGTCAAAGACAGAGGGCTGATCAAATCTAAATATAGCCGCGCCATTAGTCCCATCCTTTGATTTGGTTAATTTCACATCTGGTATCGTAAGTTCATCGGTGCCTTGGATGAACTGAATTTTTGGTTGAACCATCATCACTATCTGACCAACCGGTGCAGAAAATGACCTTTGTGATGCCCATCTCATTGGACGCAACCTCAACTGAAGTCCATTGAATGAAGAGTGTACACACTGGGGAGTAGCCAAAGAGAATACACAAATTCCTAAAAGATGAGAAAACTAAATCAATTTTAATCATTAAATTGAGATAGAACACTAGCTTAAAATTCATATGCTCTAGAGTATTGTTATTCAAAAAATATTTAAAGTCACTGCCAAGTTTTTTCATTTTTCTAAACCTTAATCAGAAGAACAACTAGCAGGAACTAATTAAGAATTGAGATTTTACGCTTATGTAATAGTTGCCTTGTCAGTAAAACGACTCAAGAGTCTACAACATTTAACAAAACAAGAATTTCAAACCTCCCACCCCAAAGGCCCAAACCACCCACCTCCACATTACAAAAATAGTAGGCCTAGTATACAACAGGTGTATCCGTGCACTATATACATCAAACTTATCCACCCCAAAACATATTAAAGTCATCCTTGTGCAATTACGAAATTTACATGATTCGGGGTGACTAAGTGTGTTGTATACAATAAACCCATTACATCCAAAACCCTCCAAAAGAAAGAACAACCTCACAAACAAACTGAACTTGCACATTTGAATCCCTCAAATTTCCTCAATATTCCACATGAACTTATCAGCCATCATCCCATTACAATAGATTCACATAAATTTGAACCTATGGGACTTAAACATTTACGCTTTGTTTGGATAGGAAATAAGGAAGGAAAGGAAGGAGAGGGAAAGAAGAGGAAGGGAAGGGAGAAGAAAGGGAGGGGGAAGTGAGCTCCATTTTCCCTCCAAATCTCTCCAAATTCGGAGGGATTATGCTTATTAAAGAGAGTGGGAAAATGGATCCCTCCCTCTCCTTTCCCTTCCTTCCCCCAATCATTTATCCAAACAAGAGAGTTTGTCCCCCTCCCTTTCTCTTCCCTTCTTTTCCTTCCATTTCCTTCTATCCAAACAAAGTGTTAAACTAAAACCTTTCTTTCCTCTGTTCTCAACAAAATTTCCATCATATAACTTGTTTTAGATGAAAATTTGATAACCATCTAGTGAAACCTTAATCACTTAGCTAAACCCTCAATTACCAATGCCATAAATACAGAATCTTGAATTTGAATTGCATTTTTGTATTCCAACTAATTAAATTAATTAATACGGAGTAGTGTGTAAAAAAGAAATTTTCTACAAACTACTGTTCCTGTGTTAAATTCAATGAAATACAATTATACATAATTCCCACCTCCAATCATCCTAAACAAAAACAACCAACCTCATAAAATTGGGAAATTTCCCATTTCAAACAATTTAAAACTAGAAATTAAAATGCAATGCAATGCATAAGTACATAATATAATGCTGCAAATTTCTAGGAAAAAATCACAGAAAGAAAAGGAAATACCTGGGTTGGAAGAAGATTTGTGAGAGGAGCAGTGGGAAAGTGGAGAAGAACAAGTAAGAGATTGAAGAGATGCTGCCATGGAGTTTGATACTGGAATTAAACTGGTGGCAGAAAATGTTTATAAATTTTCAGTGGAATTTTTGAGGAAAGAGATGATGAAGAAGATGATAGGGGTCATGTACAATCCAGACGTTTGGTGTGTTACAATATCAGCCATTCACTTGGGGTTCCTTGCAAAGTGCAAATCCTATTTACTCCAATTTTTCACCTTCATTAACTTATCCATTATTAAATGAAAATAGGGTCAACAGAAGGAAAAAAAAAAAAGTCTAGGTTTACTCGACTCCCTCTGTTTTTGTTTTTTTTAAGCGGTATGGCATACATGTCGATGTAACTTTGATCTATAATACCTTTAATTATCAATAATTACAAATTATAACAATTGGCTATTAATAATCTACCCATTGAGACGATTCCGACTAGTACCCACAATATTATATTTTTTCTTATGAATAATTTACAAACATTGTCAAAGTAGATGTAATGAATAGTGCCAAAACTCCTAACGGGACACTTAAAAAAACGGAGGGAGTACTCTTTAGCAACTAGGTTCAATTTGTTACAAGCATATCAAATAAGTTTATATAAATTAAGGTTAAAAGAAATCAAGTCAGATAAGGTGAAGAAAGTGCATCATAAGTCATTAGCAAACGAGTTCACTTCACATATATGGAGTACCATACTCTTTTTTCTTGCACTTTTCAACCTTTTTAGCATTTGTGTTTATCCACATTATTATTACATTCACTAAACTTTTTCAAGAGTCATTAGCAAACAAGTACATCAAAAGAAAACAGAAAGAGCATGTGTTATTTTTCTGGTTAGACTAGAATATACTGTACCAAACTATTACGAACAACAGTTCAGATTGAATCAAATCAAAGATTTAGACCAAATCTTTAAATAGTTAAATCAAAACACCTTAACATACGATGAAGATGAAGTGAAAGAAGCATGAATTATTAAAGATTGTTTGTTTTGTTACAATGCTCAATTTATCTCTTTAATGATAGAGTAAAAAAAAAAAAAAAAAAAAAAAAAAAAAAAAAACATTGCAACTTAAATAATAATGCAAGAAATTAAAAGTTAATGAATTATCTTAATTAAATGGGACTATTGGAAGTAGTCTGCTAACCTTGATAGAGGTCACGTCTTTTATGGGCTGGATGCGACTAATAAATTGGGCTTGGACTAATCTATGTTGGCCCATTTTAAAGTATTAACTTATCTTCAAACGGCCCATGAAATTTTGATGCGTGTACTACGAAGGCTAAGCCGCTAAGGTGAATTATGCGATTTTTTAATGGATTACTCACAAGATCAAAGACATGAAGCCTTCTTAGCTCAGTGGTAGAGCGCGTGGCTTTTAACCACGTGGTCGTGGGTTCGATCCCCACAGACGGCGATATTTTATTTTATTTTATTTTATTTTGGTCTTTAAAAAAAAAAAAAATGATTTGCATAGGTGTAATTCCTCAGTCATCATTCAATATTTAAGGAAGTTTTGTTAAAAACAGAATGTCGTGGTATCACAAAATAATGAAATATGGTTATATGGACGATCACATTTGTAATTTTTGTTAGATTCGGGAAGACTCCACTAATGTGGAATGTGTATCATTGATCAATATATATAGAGTTTTACAATTATTGTAAACCTATTACAATAAGGATACAAAATATATAATATTATCCTAATCTGCGACAAATATTATCATGACTATAATATCTATCACACCCCCGCAGTCATAGCGGGAGGAGGTCGTACGCTAAGACTAGATCTAAAATCCAAAAATAAGTCTCGTGGCAAGCCTTTCGTGAAAATGTCCGCAAACTGATATCTAAGAGGAACATGCAGAACCCGAACTTGTCCCAAAGCAACCTTTTCTCGGACAAAATTAATATCCATCTCCACATGTTTGGTGCGTTGGTGTTGAACCGGGTTGCCAGAAAGGCAGATGGCACTGACATTATCACAATAAACAATAGTAGCCTGTCGAAGAGGGCAATGTAACTCAAGTAAAAGATTACGGAGCCCACATGCCTCAGAGACAACATTTGTGACGCCTCGATATTTTGCTTCTGCACTCGATTTAGATAAAGTATGTTGACGCTTAGATGAGCAAGAAACAAGGTTGTCCCCAAGAAAGCAGCAATAACCCAATGTGGAACGACGGGTATCGGGACAACCTCCCCAATCAGCGTCAGTGTAAGTAATCAAACGATGAGAAGCAGACGGATATAAATGTAAGCCATAATCAATAATACCCTGAACATAGCGCAAAATGCGTTTCAAAGCATTATAATGAGATTTTCGGGGATCATGCATAAAAAGACACACTTGTTGTACCGCATAGGCAATATCTGGCCTGGTGAAAGTGAGGCACTGAAGAGCACCTACTAAACTATGATACAAAGTAGGATCCCGAAAAGGTGGTCCTGCATCTGCACTAAGTTTGGACTTAGTGTCAACTGGAGTAGCTGCAGGTTTACAAGAACCCATACCTGCACACTCTAAAATCTCATATGCATACTTTTCCTGTGAAAGTAGCAAATAAGAGGGAGTACGGGTCACCGCAATCCCTAAAAAGTAGCTCAAAGGACCCAAATCGGTCATAGGGAACTCAGTTTGCAACTGAGATATGATCCCTGCACGCAACCTGACAGATGAAGTAGCTAATATAATATTATCAACATATAGAAGCAAATATGTCATATCATCACCCTATTGGAAAGAGAGAGTTGTCACTTTTAGCAATGACAAAACCCAATTTGATGAGAAAGTTTGCAAATCGTTGGTACCAAGCTCTGGGAGCTTGTTTCAAACCATAAAGAGCCTTACGGAGCTGACATACATAAGAGGGTGCTCTCCGATCAACAAAACCCGGAGGTTGATGCACATAAACAGTTTCCTGCAAATCACCATGTAAAAAGGCATTTTTGACATCTAATCGATGAATCGACCACTTTTTAGCCATAGCTAAGCTGAGAACAGTACAAATAGTGGCCAGTTTAACTACCGAAATGAAAGTCTCATCACAATCCACACCAATTTCCTGCGACCTGCCATCACATACAAGACGAGCTTTCTGCCTTTCAAGGTCACCATTAGACTTGTATTTATGTTTAAAGAGCCACATACAATTGACAATGTTCACCCCCGCAGGCCTAGGCACCAAATCCCATGTCCCTGTTTTATTTAAAGCACTATACTCATCATTTATCGCCACATTTCAATTATGGTCATTTAAGGCCTGTTTATGATTTTTCGAAAGATGTGATTTGTGAAGAGGTGGACCCGAAGTGACAATATTGGCTTGGTTGTATTTTGGGTTTGACTTATATATCCCGTGGTGACTACAGGTAATTCGAGGTGAGGGAGGTGGTGGGCGCATGGGTTGAAGGGGGGGAACACCACGCATGGGGGTGGGCTGTATGTGGGAGGGGACGTGGCTGGAGTGGTGGGTGGCCAAGAGGTCCGCGATGGGGTCGCAGCAGGGGAAGCATTACCGCTAGGTACCTGCGGAGTATACTGTGTAGTTGCGTGAAAGGGTGAATGGGTTTGATTTAGGGTGTTGTTAAACGTCGTTCGCAAATTACTAGGTGACGCTCGCATTTTTTACGTGAATTTCCTAATTTGCCCCTCGTATATAAATACTCGGGAATCTCAGTTCCGAAACTCACAAGTCATTTCACAACCCACTCACTCTCTCTCTAAAATTTTCTCTCTCTAAAAAAAAGTCAGAAATTGTAAAAAAAAAAAAGTCAGAAATTGTAAAAAAAAAAAAGTCAGAAATTTAAAAAAAAAAATCAGAAATTTTTTTTCAAAAAAAACCCCAAACTTTGAAAATCAAACAAAGAACAACTAACACCAATCGAAGGTTGAATCCGGGTATGGCGGACCGGCGACGCGTTGGGATGACTTACGGTGGTCGTGGGGGCGGCGTTAGCGGCGGCGAGCAGGTTGGTCGTTGTTTTTGTTTCAGATTTTGGGAAAAAAAAAAGTTACGAAATACCCAGACTTCCGCCTGAAATTTCCGGAAGTCTTGGGAAACATCCGGAAATTTCAGGCGGAAGTCCCACATCCGCCTGAAATTTCCGGATGTTTCCCCAGACTTCCGGAAATTTCAAGCGGAAGTCTGGGTTTTCTGGGATTTAATTTTTTTTTTTTTTGGTCGATTTGTTTTTTTTTTTTTGTTTTTCTGTTTTTTTTTGTCGATTTGTTTTTTTTGTCGATTTGTTTTTTTGATTTTTGTATTGTTTGTGAGTAATATAATTTTATTGTTATTGTTATGTGTATGTTATTTATGAATTTTGGAATTTTTTTTCCGTGTGATTATTGATATGTAATTTTTTTTTTGAGTAATATAATTTTAATTGTTTTTATTGTTATTGTTATGTGTAATTATTATGTATTATGGTTTATATTAATTTCGGAATTTTTTTTCCTCGTGATTATTGATATGTTTTTTTTTTTTTACTAATATAATTATATTGTTTTTGTTGTTATTGTTATGTATTGTTGTTATGTAATTTTTTCGTGATTAAAATTTGATAAAAAATGGATTGAAATTATTGTTGTTGTTGTTATTACCATTGTTGTTATTATTGTTGTTGTTGTTGTTGTGTTGTAATGTTGCCGATTTTGTGGTTTATTATTGTTTTGATTTGGTTTATTGTTATTGTTGTCAAATTATTATCAGTTATTATTGATCGTTGGTAATGTTGTTATTATTGTTTATTTGATTTGGTTTGTCATAGTGTTGAAATGATATTTTTGAATTTGAATATTAGCGATTCAAGTTTGATATCATAGTTGTGTGTGTAAGTATTAATGAAATCTGATTTTGTACTTATTTAATGCAGATTGAGGGTTCGGGCGCTCGACATGCAAGATCAAGACGTTTGAATGCATCAGTTCGGAGGGAGTTAGGTGGTGCAGGACCTTCGGGGCACCGTTTCATCATGAGCAGCAGTACCGGTCTGCTGGTAGTTGGTCGGGGGAGCATCAGTCAGATGGGAGCGCCCCCATGTACTCGTCGGGTAGAGTGCCTGTATCTGACGATGAGGACGACGAGCGAGCTAGTCATGCTAGTCGAGATTCAGAGTATGACCCTCAGGATTATCGTACCGTGTATAGGGCTCAGCATGGGGGATTTGTTGGTAGTAGTGAGCCAGGGCAACCTTCTACCAGCTCCTCAGAGACGTGGGTAGTACAGGAGCCGATGCCAGGTGGGCCTGAGGATGGTACTGTTATTTCTAGCTTTGGGGGTCACGTGGCTGCATATATATGGGCTGGGCGGGAGCGAAATGTTCTGCGGTGTTTGAGCAGGACACAGTTGTGTACTGAATTGGGTAACTGGCGCGCTCGTCTTCCGCAGGAGCACCAGGAACTGATTGATGGCAGTGGTCTATCTCACTTACCCGGGATCATGTTCCGGCGATTTGACTGGCCCCTGATTTCTGCTTTTGTTGAGAGATGGCAGCCAGACACGAACATGTTTCACATGCCATTTGGGGAGATCACGATCATGCTGCATGATGTGTATCATATTCTGGGGCTCCGTGTCGACGGTTCCATGGTTTCCACTACTCCTAGCACGGACGTTTTACGGGACGCGTGCTCGATTACCATGGATATGACTGCGGAAGAGCTAAATGAGAAGGCGGGTACTAAAACTGTATGGCAGGGTAGTGGGGTGCTCACTGAGAGGATAATGGAGTCGACCTTGGAGTCGCAGAGGCCCTTCAGTGTCCATTACAGGGCGTACTTGTGGTTAGTACTTGGCGGATGTCTGTTTTTGGACAAGAGTGGCAACCGTACTCATCCTTCCTTCCTCAACGAGCTGTTTGTTGAGGATGTTCAGATTACTGAGTACTCCTGGGGTTTTGCTGTGCTAGCATATATGTATCGGCAGTTGGGTACAGCATCACGAAGAGATGCCGATTCTATCGCTGGTTGTCTTACGCTTCTGCAGGCTTGGATCTACGGGTACTTTTCCTGTTTTCGGCCTCAGCAGGGGACCTTGACCAGAGAGCTTACTGTTCCTCGTGCGTCTGCCTGGGATGTCGGATCGGGGTGCCCCAACAAGAGCATGGAGCGCCTCCTCGCTTTTCATGCTAGGTTGGATCATCTGACTGACAATGAGGTGAACTGGCTACCGTACGGAGTTGATCCAGCACGGCGCGTGCCTGCTACTCTATTCATTGGCTGCATCCAGTACCGTAGCATCATTGAGCCATATATGCCTGATCGAGTGGTTCGACAACTTGGATACGTCCAGGGCATTCCGCAAGCCATCATCAGGCCTGAGAAGGCGAAGAGACCGACGAACTTGAAGATGTATCGAATGGACTTTCCGCCAGAGATGACATCTGTGATGTGGACTCGGTTTGTCCCTGGTGCGTCTTTCACTGTGGTGTTAAGTCATTTCAGCAGGCTTGGTGGTGGTGCTGCTACGGTCGGTCCTGGTTACATGCAGTGGCTGTACCGATTTTCTCATCCTCGTGTTTCTCCAGTTGCGTCATCACATGGGAGTCGCGCACTGCCAGAGAGAACTAACACGGATTACGTAAGTACTTGTGTTTTTTGGTACTATAATTATCACTACAAATACATCTACTTTGTTTAATATGTTGTTTTCTTTATTGCAGTGGATGGGTCGGTCCATGGAGGTTATCAACAGGACACTGGAGGAGTATCCGAGCATGTCGCGTGATACGAGGGCAATGGCTGAGGCGCTACGAGCTGATTGGAGGGCATGATGGGGTTGTGACTTCCCTGTTTATTATTTTTTTTTAGTTGTACGCATTTCGTTTGTTTACTCTACATTCGGCATGTATTTTAAGAATTGGACTATTGTTTTTGTGTGGTTTTTTTTGAAACTTTGTTTAATTCAGAATTTTTATTTACACTTTACATATCTACAACTGTTCACAATAAATGATTTTACACAAATGCTTTCATTATCTAATTAACGCATCCCACATGTTCCTTCTAGCTGCGTAACGCTGATCCCAACCGTCAACACTTGGCTCGTGGTTTTCGGTCCACCAACCTGCAATCGGGGGAAGAGGTGAATCTGGTGCAAGGTCAATACAGATAAAATGTGAGCCCC